GACGGGGATGTGGCTCAGCAGCACTATGCCTGCGTGGCAAGCGAAAGATCCTGAGTTCAATCCCAGTACCAGAGGGGAAAAAAAGAAAGAAAACAGGGCTACAGCCTTACTTGATGGCAAATAATTTAAGTCATTGTATTTTTTTTTTTAACTAAAACAATCAGAAATACACTGCACTGAAAGGTAAAGCTGTCAGGACTTTTAAAAACAAATAGAAACTTTCAGACATTTCAAACTTGTGACAGTGTACTGTAAACTAAGCCCTCAGAACTATAAGGGATAATCATTTGTATTTTCCCACTCTTAGATTTTTTTTTTTGGTGAAAAAATTTAAGACAGATCAGATAAATGATCAAAAGGAACAATCCCACATAGCACATATTAAATGAGAAAAACAGGAAAGTTCTCCGTGAGTTCAATGTTATGGTTTTTCCTATGGCATTGATTGTTCCTGATGTTTCAATATAGGAAATGGTGCCCTGGTGGAGAATTGCTCCCAGTCATCTGGTCTGGCCATCTGATGCAATACCCAAGGTACAAAGCAGCGGTTTCCAATAATGAGATGGAGGGATGGCTCATGATCCCCTTGGCTCAACCTAACTTCTGGATAATGGTTTCTCTCTTACCATTCCATGTTCTCTTGGACAGACCAAGTCATATTGGGCTAAGTGTTTTAAGAATGCAAATTTCACCTTTGAAGCTTGATCAAGAACTCTTTGACAGCTCAAATTGTTAGGTGCTAAGCAGATATTTTCAGGGACAATCACAGAAGCTTTAAAAAGAAAGCCCTATCCCCTTTAAATGTAAGCCTGGCTTTAAAGTTTTTGTTTGTTTGTTTGTTTTAGATAAGACCCCAATCCCCTTATAAGGTGACCTAGTAGTGAACTCTATGCCAGCTAAACTTCCCACGTCATCCTGCTTCACCCTTTTACGTGACCTAGAAGTGAACTTTGCTCATTGTACTACTAAATTCTCTGCCCACAGGAGCTTCCATCTGCCATTGTTTTGAACATGCAATATATGATGAGGCATGAAGTCGAAATGAGCATGATCAAGAATGCATCTGCCTCTACATGTGATGATGGCTCTTCTTGGGTGATATATCTGAGTTTCAGCAATATATATCCCTTGCTTTGTTTGATAGATGATGGTTTCTCTCTTATTCCATGTTCTCTCCTACAGAGCACAGTCACATTGGGCTAAGAGTTTTAAGAATGCAAATTTGCTTGGAGAGACACTGATTTGGGAAATTTTCCTAGTACCCTCCTTATTTGCTGCAAGTAATAAACCTCTGTCTAACTGACCAACTAACACCTTTTATTCTTCAAAAGTATTTGAGGTGGCTCCAGGCAGTGGAGACATTCCATAAATAAGCCCAATTTAAACATCTCGGCTCTGAAATAACAGGTGCTAACTAGGTCTTTCCCTATTACTTAAAAATTTTGGCTAAGGGAAGCTGAGACCAGTAGATGGTAAGTACACATTTTAAGGAGATGTTTAACAAGATAGTACCAGTGTAGTGACCACCAGCCCATCCAAAATGGGAAAAAAAGACTAGAGGTGATGGAAGAGACTCTTTGAAATAAATTCTTAATGAAGAGGAGAAAGAAGAAGAGGTACTTGCTACCCTTTGCTTCTCCTTGTATTTGGAGGACCTGCGAGGAGGGCAAACATATTCACTGACTGAAGCTGTTTATGATACCAGAGAGAGCAGAGAAGAGTCAACAGGTAAATTCTACAGTATGAGGGGCAAAAAAGAGTTTGAGAACCAACTGAGCCCTATTATGCTTAAGAATGTAAACCAAGAGCTGCTTGCCAAGATGAAGCAAGAACAGACTATAGAAACTACCGCTTCAAAAGGTTATTCAGAGAATATACCACTTGAATCAAAAGTGCCAGCCAGATCTCCCAAGAGTGGACTCATACATCTCACAAAAGAGCCAGAACGTGAGTGATTTCTTCAGAGAAATCAGGAAGTGAGAGAGAACTACAACCAGGTAAATAATAAAGCTTTTACCTCTTCTATTCTATTCTATTACTTCTTTGACTTTTTGCCTCCTATTTTTTTGCTTTCCAAGTTCTCTGTTAAACCAATATTTAAGGCTCCCAAACCAAAACAGAGAATTGGGGAGCAAGGGACATAAAAGAACAGGCTCTGTTCTGCTTATTCACTTCTCTGAGTAGAGAAGCCTTAGCTGTGGAGAAGGGAGACTATTTAACTGTCTGAGAGACTGAAGTTTTGATTTAAACTACAATGCTCTTAAATATCTACAGAGGAGAGAACTATGGGGTTCAAGAATGGAAGAGAAAGACCCAGCTATTGAAGGCACTGATTGAGAAGTTAAAATCATTTCCTGATTATATCCTACTGAATTCAACTGGCTGCCCAAATAAATTATAGTTAGTTATTTGATAACTCTTCAATTAAATACCCAAAAATATATTGAACTCTTCTTAAACTCTAAAATCAGAACGTCAGACTTTTTTTGTAACTGGGAATTGAAGCCTTGATCAAGGACAAACAGCAGCTTCCCATATGAAAAGTGCATATTAAGAGCAAATATAAGATCCTTTCTGTTTTCAGAAAATGCATAGAAGTGAAACTCCTACTGACTAGAGACAGAGGTTACAATGGATTGTTCAGTCCTTGTAATTACTTGGAATACCCCAAATGCTCATCAGCACAAAATGGGTATATAAATTGTAGCATTGTCATCCTGTAGAATGGAAACAATCTGATCATTGTGCAAGAATATGTGCAATAGGGATGAATCTCATGTGTAACATAGAATGAAAAATGTCAGACATGAGAGTGCATATGCCATGATTTAATCAATGTAAAGTTCAACAACAGATAAAACTAAACTAGGCTGGTAGATGTTAGGTTATCCTCAAAAGAAAGTACTCATTGAAAGGAATATGAAAGGGCTCCTGGGATGCTAGGAATATTCTGTTTCTTAATCTATATGTATGGATTTGTGAGTTACACGTCAACCATCTGAGTACTTTTACATACATATGTTACAATTCAATAAAGCATTCAAAACATTTTTACCTCTCTACCCAAATAGGTCACTATTAAAAATTCAGATAAGAGTTAATCTTATGGCAGGGGAAGTGATTGAAAATGGTAGAAGATCACTTGAATTCTGTGGATATGTTCACTTCATGAATATTAACTGAGCTGTATGCTTATTCTATGTGTACTTTTCTGTATATAACTGTATACACACATATACAATGGTACCTCGGTTCATGAATACTTTTATTTGCAAAAAATTTGGTTCACAAACAGAAGCATTCAGCAAATTTATTTTGTCTTCAAACTCTGCATTGGGTGACAAACATGAACATATTCATCTTTTCCAGAATTGTGGAATGAATTAAGTTTGTGAACTGAGGTACCACTGTAAATGTATAGATATATCTCAATTTTGCATCAAAATAATGGAGTAGTATTTAAATCTGGAATTCCAAGCTCATGTCCTAGATAAGAGTCTCAAACAAAATGCTACCTGAGACCTTTTTTTTTTTTGGTAGCGGGGATCAAACTCAGGACCTTGTACTTGTGAGGTAGGCAGTGGCACCACTGAGCTAAATCCCCAGCCCCTACCTGAGACCTTTTTAAAACCTTAATTAACAAAATATTCCCCAGTTAGCTTTTCATAAGACTAACACATATAAATGATAATCAAATATTTATTGATCAGAGTTCTTTTTATTTATTTATTTTTTTTAGAGGGGAAGGGGTTTATTTGGCTTACAGTTCATTCAAGTTTCAGTCCCTAATCAGCTGGCTCCAAGACAGGGATGACAAACAGGCATGGCAGAGCAGAAACAACATGGTGCACACAAGTCAGCAGAGATAACAAGAGACCTTCACCAAGTGTTTCTGCCTCTTTTATTCCATACAGACCACTGGGATTAGGGCAGTTGCAAACTAATCACTCACATGCAGTGGTTTAGTAACAACATGCCCTTAACCCCAGCATCACACATTCCAGATTCAACTACCTCTGAAAAAGAAAGTCCTACCTCATCTGCTTGAGGCTTTGGGGAGTACATCTAAACACAAACCAAAACATTCCATCCTGGCCCCCAAAAGACTCATGCATATCCCTTTATGTAAAAAACTCCCCATTTAGTCCAACTCTAAGAGTTGCCAAAGTCCTAACAGTTTCAGCATTGCTGAAAAGTCCAAGTCGAAAGTCTCCTCTGAGATTTAAGGCTAAGTTGTGGCTGCAAACCCCTGTACAAAAGAAAAGAAACTCAAACACTTCCAACATTCAATGGCACAGGACAGATATTACCATTCCGAAAGGTACATACACGAGGATACAAAGGAATAGGACCAAAGTAAGTCCAAAATCCAGCAGACCAAACATTACATTCCACAGTTCACTTCCAGCATCCACGGCAATCTCTGGCAAGTTGTGAACTTCAAAGGGCTTGGGTGGTTCTGCCCTATGGCATTTCCTGTGGGTGTAGCTCCCGTGGTTTCTCTCTGGGGCTGGCTCTGCTCCCTCTTTGCAGTTTTCCTCAGACAATCCACACTCCTGGCTTCTCCATACTTCTGGGGTCTCCACTGCACCTTTTGCTTCACACTCACAGCTTCACACACTGGCTTCTCAGAGGCACACTGCCTGGCCTCCAAGGCCTTCTTCTGAAATCTGGGTGGAAGCCTCCCTGACCCCACAACTCTTGCATTCTGCATGCACCTAAAACCAGTGCCATGTGGATGATGCCAAGGTCTGTGGCCAGCTGGAGCAGTAGTAGCCAGTCTTCCCTCTCTCTTGGCTGTAGGGGTTGAATGCCTGGATTGCTTAGCACTCTGAATCCAATTTTGAGGAACAACTTCCCTAAGCTGCCATTTTGGAACAACTTCCCTAGGCTACTGCCATTCTGAACGTGGTACTCTGGGATTTACTTCTCAAGGCAAAGTCCTTCACTTTTACAATTTTGAGGCTGCAAAGGGTGGAGTTCTGCTGCTTCCTGTCATGTCCTCAGGCCATCTTTTCTTTTTTTTTTTTTTAACTATTTCAATTTAATTTTATTATGAAAATGGAAGTAACAGGAAATGGCAGCAGTGTACTGTATTTGACAAGCTCAATTAGTAGGAGGATCAAATGAAGTGACGATATGCTATTATGACCTTGGGGGTTAAAGATTCAATTTTCCATCTGCCCAAATCTAGATTTCCAACACAAATGCTGACACCACCTGCTGTATGTTATTAGGTGATATCTTGAGCAATCCCTAAGCATTTTCCATACACCAGGTATAACCTCAAGTTTTTTTTCATATTTCACTCTATAATATAATTACCCCCCCCATGAACAGAAATCAAAAATAAATTCTAATAATGGCTGACTCAAAACAACCATAGCAGAAGCTATACTAACACATTCACTTACCAATCACCATAATAATAAAAATATCATAATTATTTTCCAAGTCTTTGTAAACAGGCCATCTTTTCTATTTTCCACTTCCTTCTCAGCAACCAAAACCTTCTCTGCTCTCTTTGAAGTCCACAGCTTTACTGGAGCTTCCTTTCTGGCCAAACTCAAAACATGTTTAATCATTCTTCTGGGCTTTTTGCTCTTGATTCTCACCAAAGATCTGGTTAAAAGTCCCCATGCCACTGCCTCAACATTTGACCGCCTTGAAATTTCTTCTGCAAGATTAATTAGTCCACCATGCCTAATCTCAGTCTCAGGCAAAGTCTCTGGACATGAACAAAATGCAGACAAACTTTTTGCCAAGCCATAACACACATCATCTGGGGTCCAACAGCCAATGGAGTCCTTTTTCCCAGCAGAAATCTCCTGAGCCTGGTCTTTACTGGCTTTCTGGTCTTCTGAGCTCTGGCCAGAATCTCCCATACAAAACAGCCTAAGGCATTCCAGCACTGCTTCTGTAGCCAGCATCTCCAGATCTTTCCTAACTTTTCTCCTTCCCCACAAGCCAATTCCAAAGGCTTTTGAGCCACATGGCCAGGTAATGTCACAGCAACAGCCCCATTTCTCTGTTACCAAATTTCTGTGTTAGTTACTTTTATTTCATTGCTGAGACAAAATACCCAACACCTGAAATTAGAGGGGATGGGGTTTATTTGGCTTAAAGTTTGTGGAAGTTTCAGTCCACAATCAGCTGGCTCCAAGACAGTGATGACAAACAGCATGGCAGAGCAGAAACAACATGGCATGCACAAGACAGCAAAGGTAACAAGAGGCAGGGATCTTTCTTGATCAATGAAATGCTTCTTTGGATATTTTGCTGTGCTTCTCACTGTCTTGTTGAGATATTATAACTATTATTTCATTTAGGTTGGTGACAACTCTGTCCTACCTTGTCCCATTTAAAACACCTGTAGTCGGCACATGTGACATATCCACATGGCTCACAGTTACCTTACAAGTCTCAAAAGCATATCACATTGGAGATTCAAGCAAAGCATTTGAGAAGACTTCTACCTTTGCAGACAAGTTGTAAGGGAGCTCACTTCACAGCCTTTAAAAATCAAGCAAACACCTGGAACAGCAGATGGTAAATCGATATGACAGTCAGTGGCAGGTTTAATTTCCTCGCATTACAGATTGCAGACCTTAATCTCCTAAAAACATAGACACAATGAAGGCAGTGAGAGTCATTTTACCAGATAACTAATAAGATTTGGTAAACAGAATCATTTTACCAGATAACTACATGTAAGATTTAAGCTGTCAATAAATTTATGTGTCATTGTTGGATAGTTACCATTTTAATTATGCTATCTTTTTAATGAGGAAAGTAAGGGAATCGTGCCATTTAGCATATAGAAAGGCTTCAGCAAAATGGATAGAGAAGATAAATACTGCATGTATCTTATTAATTTTTCCATCTGCAAAGTTAAATTTGTTTAATATGTTGCATCTGAAATCAGAAACTATTGAATAAACGTGAAAAATGTTGAATCACAGGCAGTATTTCATTCACAATTATATCAAAACAATTATAGAGGAAAAATGGTACACTGGAAAACAGAGCTGCTCTTAATTATTGAGCAATTAATACATGGATCAATTAATAAAAGGAAGAAGCATAGAAAAAATAAGAGGAGGAAAATTCTTTTGATTTCTTCTTTAGACAAAATGTGCTTGGCAGCTAGACCACCTGGTTGATTTCAAATATATACTTGAAACTACCGATATAACAGCAGTAACAAGAATGTGAATAAATACAATTGACTCTGACTACCAACGCCTTGATATTGTATTTTTCTTTTTACATAAAAGTGCCTAAAGTATTAGACTATATCCCATCACAAAGAACAATTCTTATAAGGTTGCTTCCAAATTTTTATGTTAAGAAAATTAACTAGCCTCAAAGTGCTTATTAAAGAAAGTATTTTTCTTATTAAAGAAAGTATTTGATATATGGTGGCAAAAAAATGATAGAAGAAAAATCCCCTTTCATAAGTTTTCAGAGCTATGAAATCCGGAGAAAACCATAGTTTGGCTACTCTGTCTGTTTTCAAGAAGTCTGACAGACATGGAACAAGGACAAACCCCATTTGCCTGGGTGAAGAGCCTAGGGAGAGAGTAATTGCTAGTTGAGACGCAGCTGCAGATAGAGGTTTATCAAACCCAAAGATCAAATGTTTATTTCATTTTGATAAAATTATTAAGTCATGAATCAACTTACCCCAGGCTTCTGTACACTCAGGAAATGACTATGTGTTCTGTGCCTTAATATATTAAGATAGTAAAAGGGGCTTTTATTATGAAAGCTCCAGATAGAAACAATTTATTAAAATGCAAGCAGTCATCATTCACATTTTATTTAGCCAGAATAAGATTCCATATTTGAGCTTACGATAGGGAACTTCAAAGCAAAACCTAAATGTGGAAAAACCAAGACTCTAAAATGAAAGTTTTGTTCTAAACTTTTAAAATGTAATATTCCACATTCAGCCATTGTTTATTCACAGTCTGTTGACTACAGAAGAATTTCTATTGTAAAGTATAATGTAAATTCCCTAGTATCAATCTTAAAATGATGAAAGTTTTTAACTTTAAGAATATTTTCTTCACCATGAAAAATAATCATAAAATGTCTCCAAAACAAAGAAGTATGTGATGTACTAAGTTCTAAAAAATAGTAGCTGAAAAAAATAAGTCCATATTATTTTTATGTCTAAGAAGTTAAAATGCGTGGAAAGTTTGGAGTTGCTTTCCCTCAAAGACAGAAGGGGTTTAAAGTATATAGTTGTATTTGTATGTGCATGTGTGCACACATGTCCTTGTGCTTGTGTGCATGCAGTGAACCCATTCTACTTTGTTTCATGCCATCAGCCGTATTTACTTCCAATTTGCAGATGATACCCAAAGTGTTTCATATGCACTCTCTGAGCTCATCTAATACCAGACTCTACATCTCCTTTTGAATATCTCAAAGATGCTCCAATTTAACTTCTTTAATGCTGAACTCAAGCTTTCCCATGCCTTTGATATGTGTCTTTCTTTTTCCCACTAAGGATCTTTGCTCATACTGTCTTTTACATTTTCTTTCTTTATTCAGTTAATGCATATGTATTCTTTAGCCCTCAGCTCAAATATCTTCAGAGAAATCTACTCCAACCCCATGACAGAATTAGATTTCTCTCATAAACCCTGCCATATCACTATGAAATTCTTCTTCAGAGAACTTCTCAAGCTATACTTTTACATTTACTTGTACCACTACCTGATTTGTACTCAACATTCCTATGAAATGGGCATTCTGTACAAAAAGTAGGTGTTGAACGAATGAGAGAATGAATGAGTGATTACATGGATGTACTGTATTCTTTCAGTCTGTGGTAAATACCAAGTTGAGGCTGATTTCTGCATCTGGTTGCTGTGGTAGCCATGAAAATATTTCTCTTGACTGCATGCATGTGACTGATGGTCCCACAGGGGAGATGCAACACCCAAGGCATTCATTATGCCTTTGTTCTAGTTTGTTTTTCCAGGAATAATGATCTATTGTGTCAATAATTCATACATTTCTATGTTGTGATATTGATTTATATAACATCTGCTTGCATCCTGTGCAGAACAAACCTAGTACTGTGCAATTATGTGAGATATTTAAGAGGAACTCATATGATGTCCAGCACACAGAAAGACTGCAGTAACCATGAGCCATCATCATAATCTTCACCAAGAATACCATCAACATACCTCTTTTCTTCAAAGCCCCCCACCCCCACCAAGGGTGAACTAAGGTCAGAAAGAGCTTTTCCATATCTAATTGTCTGGCTTCCAGAAAACATTTTATGATTATTTCTGGTGGAAGACATGACTTTACTAAATACCAGCCAATATTAAGAAATATGTTCCTTTTTTTCAAATAGCCTTTTTATTTCATTCTATTTATTGATCAAATACAAGTTCAGGCAAGCAGAGTTTTTTAATCCATCTTTTGCCAACCTAAACTGATAAAAATTTATGGCTATATTAAGAAGATAATAGTTGTCCAGACACAGGAGACAAAGTCTTGTTAGGATTCACCTTGGTATAGAAAAGTTTTTTACGATTAAACCCTGATTTCTGAGAAATCACATGTTACTTTCAGAACACTTGGTCATTGTCGACTAATTCCAATATTTCCAAATGCATCCCCCCCCCGGCTGTGCAAGAACTTTCTTCAAAATAGCCTTAGTTACCAAAATGTACTTCTGATTTTTGTAATCTATTTCAGTAATGTCAGAACAGACATTGGAGCTTAGATAAAAATATGAAATCAGCCATTGTTTCAAGCAAAAGGACCTCAGTGAAAATATTTCAGCCTTTTAATATGTTTTTGATCTTCTGCTTTTGTGGCCTTCCTCTCAGCAGGCAGATACTCCCCTCTCAAAGCCCCTGGAAGTCAACACATGGCCCTGAGCTACTGATCAGAAAGAAATGATTTTCTTTTAAAAAATTTGCCTATAGAATATGAGGATAATACTTGTATTATAATACTTGTCTTCTTCAATGGAATAAAAACTCCTACATTAATTTATTTTTCTAATTGAGCAAGATGGTGAGTGTGAATATGCAGAAGGAATATAACTGGACTTGAAAGTAAAAAGAAAAAGTAAGATTATTTCTCTTCATTAGGAATCCCATACATATGATATTTATTGAATCTTAAGGTTGAAATTATTATCTGTGAGTGGTAGAAAAATGATAATTTTTCTTTTTTTCCAACTTTCTGTGTTTTAACATACTAATCAAAAAGATATAAATTTATAGAGTAAGTATGAAGAATTGATAGGGAACCTAGAAATTACACATTAATATAGGATTCAGGCTGTTACATTAATTTTCTACTCTTTGAGGGGTATAAGAAGATGAAGTTTGAAGACAATATGGCTTCTGAAATAGTGGTCCAAACTCTGCTAAATATCATCACCAGACTTACCTTATGAATATTAATATATTTATATTTTTTCCTTCAATTAACTTAAAACTGTACATTGTAAAATGTTTTCATTAAAAGGTAAAATTGAAAGCCTAAAAGGGATAGCTAATATACACGCATAGGTTTTAACTCAGGTTATGTTCCTGAAATGGGAAAAATATTTTTACTTCTAAACTTTCCTATAAGTTGCATTCATGTTGATATCATGTAGATATAAAGAAATCTATGTTACTAATTCCTCAAATTTTTATATATATTACTACAAAATTCATTCATTAGAACCAAAAGTATAAATCAGTAACAGCATAACTATAGGTCTCTTATTTAGAGTAAGGTATTACCAACCCAAAACCTTGCAAGAGCCCACAGCATTCTCACTTAACTCTTGGTTCAAGGGGAAAAATAAAATAAAAAATAGTCAAAGACTAGAAAGTACTGACCATAAAGAAGATAAAACCTAAAAATCCAAACTAGGCTTTTCTTAGAGGAAAAAAATCAGATAAACAGTAACAAATAGCAAACATTGAAACCAATGAACCAGGTTCTATTATTAAAAACTCAGAAAGCAACCCCACAACCTAAATATAATGAGAGAAAAAGGAAAGGGGTTACAAACAAAAAGGTGATTCAAAAGTAGAAACCAAAGAAGAAATTGACAAATAGATTTTTTAAAAATCCAAAAACTTTAAAAAAATGGAATGAGGACTAGCCAAGGAATGCTGGAGACATAAACCAGAGGCTATACTAATAATGTAAAACAAGGGAAGGTGTCAATAATCAATAATAATGCAGAGAGAGGAAACACTCTAAGAGATAGTGCAAATAAGGAGGATTACAAGGTATTTTAGAAACTTCTATATAAAAATAATATCTGGTTAAAACAAATTATTTTCTAGCAAAATATAATATGTAAAATGATACCCAAGAGAGGCAGATATGTTTAGAAAATCCTTACTGATAAGTATAATTTACAAAATTATCAAGGATACCAAAACTTCTAGTTACAAACAAATAGAATTCAGCATGAAATATAAAAGATGATGATTCTTAATCAAATAGGGTATAATATCAGGAATCCAGTTATTTCAACCCCTCAGATTAATGAATATAGTTCATGACATTAATAATTCAAAAGAAGTAAAAACATGAACATCCTAATAAGTATCAAAGAGCCAAGAGAAACGA